CAGCACCCTCACAGGGAAGAGCTTCTTCCTTATCTCCAACCTGAGCTTCCCCTGTTTCAGTCTGAACCCATCACCCCTTGTCCTATCACTGCAGTCCCTGATGAAGAGCCCCTCTCCAGCATCCTTGCAGCCCCCTTCAGACACTGGAAGCTGCTCTGAGGTCTCCACACAGCTTCTCTTCTCCAGGCTGAACAGCCCCAATATTCCCAGCCTGGCTCCACACGGGAGCTGCTCCAGCCCCTGAGCATCCTCGTGGCCTCCTCTGGACTTGCCGCAGCAACGCGCCAGTGCAGGGTGGCGAGATGCTGTACATCACCATTAACACCAACTGCTGCAACACACACTTCTGCATCCCCAGCCTGGGCAGGGCCACATCTCCCCTGCACAAAGGGGGAAAACCAATTTCAGGAGCTCATTTTGGGGCTAGAAAATGTAAGTCTAAGAACTGCAAAGTGCCAGGGACTTGCTTGGATTTTTGCACAGAACAAATCTGTATTTAATGGCCAGAGTAAGTGTGAATGAAATCCTGCTCAGCAAGATCATTTCTTTGCTGAGCAAATGCATTTCCAGCCCTCGGAAGAATATGAAGGAGGAGAACAGCACTTTGCCTAATTAAGGCCAATGTGGTGGGGCCACGGTCCAGCCCTGGCACTAATGCGCTGAGCTCAATTATCTGCCCATCAGGTCACATCCTTACATTCCTTTTTATCTTGGTCTCACACATTATTCAGCATAATGAGTTGAACAGTGGTAGGAATTACAGGCAGTGCATTTCCAGTAATGAAGCCAAATTACCCTGAAATTGCATTGTCTTTCATTTCAATCTGAAAACTATGAAAGAAGGTTGAAAAGTGAAGTAATAAATGTAGTTAATATGGGCTGAAGTTTATTAAAACAAGGCAAACACACTGCTTTAGACAAAATTCTGGATGTATTTCCATTAGTGAATCTTTTCCAGTCCTACTATGATGCCTTCCCATAGAAAGAATCAAGTTCCCTAGTGTTGAAGCATCTACAGATGAGCCACCCCTGCAAACCAGTAGCTAACTGGTTTGCGACAGCATGTGTGAACCACATACAACAACAGTAGCACTATCAGACACTGAAACCTCACCCCAGACTAATGTGAGACCCCTAAATCACTCACCCAGGAGAGGAGCTTGTGACACTGCACATGGATACCAGCATGGCAGCTGGGGGGTCCAGGAAAGACTTTGTTTTCCACAGGCTCTCCTTGGTGGGCCAGGACATCACCTGGGTATGTGAGAAGCTCCAGTGCAGAGTTAAAAGACTGCGTGCAGACTGCTCCTCACCCATAGCACAGTGTTAGTGCTGGGAACATTGCCATCGGTGTTAAAGAGGGTTAGAGAACAAGGCAGGAAAACGAGGGCTGGGGCTTGTTAAACCAAGCCTGGTCTATGCTGGGGCTCCTGCTGCAGGCAGCAGTGTCAGACAGGGCTCCTGTGTGTTAGTTATGAGCAGCAGGATTTGGCCTCAGGTTCACACCATTGGTTTTGTCACCAAAGAGCAAATTAAAGGTAGGGTTTCAGCGTCTACTTCGGGTTTCCTAGTGGGTGCATGCGAGAAGCTCAACATGAATTAAGCCCCTTTCTCCTCACCGCTGCTTTGATACCCAGCAGCCCTGCCCCACTCTCCCCTCAGCCCTATTACATTTCACCTCAGGGAGAAGGGAAAAAACACTAAGGATTTGTTTCCATCGCTGCAAACTTGCCTCCCAACAGGGAGTTCCAATGAGGGCCCGACTCCAAGGAGGTGGAGGAACCATTTATCTCCATAGCTTCTTCAATAAATCCCTTTCTCCCCATCTCACCCCCTGCCAGTGTAAGTGCTCTGGCAATGTCGAAGCACTGAGTTGAGGTCATTTAACAGCAAGAAGACTTTCTTCTTTGTTGCTGCTCTTGCCAAAGGACAAGAACGAGCTTGTGCTCCTGAGCGGAGCCATGTACCCAATGCATCCCAGGTGCTGGACATCTGCTCCCACCCCGCAGCAGCTTTGTTTGGACACAGGGAACAGCAGCAGTGTTCCTAAGGAACAACTGGAGACAAACCCTCAGCACCAACGGGCATAAAACAAGCAGCTGATGACTCCTTGGGGGGGGGGGCAAGCAAAGCTCTGCCCTGGCACCGCATCCTGCCCCTGCTCTCCAAACCAAAGGGGTTAAGCAGGTTTGACCCATCACAAACACTGCCCCTATTCAGGGCTGGCACAGCATCCTCAGCCTGCAGTCAGGACACAGGTGTCCAGGGAGAGCCTCATCCCTTGCACTGATTACACCTGGGGACCAAGCCTCCAGATGTGTTCCTGGGTTTGTTTTCCTGGGTGCCAGGGACAGCAAGTGAAAAAGAGATTAGCAGCAAAAGCAAAGAGATGACTGGGGGGGAAATGCCAGGCCTGGGTTTCCATAGGAATACCTCAACATGGAACAGGATCCGAGTTAGGGAGGGGGAAAACCACCCCCGCTGTTGAGTTTCAGCAGTGCTCTTTAAACAACCAACTCGAGTCTGAAAGTAAAAGGGTGCAGGGCCCCATAACTCAGGTATCTGGGGGCTGCCTCCCACAGCCGCTCCCTGCAACCCCACTCCTCGAGTGGAGCCACCCCAACCTGCCTGGGAAAGGGATAAACTGCAAGCACAGCCCACGGCACTGCTCCCCACGGGGGCAACAACGCATCGGCACAGGCAGCGCATGCAGGCATCAAACCCAAGCACTTGCTCCCATCGGAGTCATCTGCAGACCTCCTGGGGGGGATGCTACGAGGCCATGGGGAGAGCAGCGATAGCCAAGTTACAGGAGCAGGTATTGAGGCTGGCTCAGGGTGAAGCTCTTCCCTTTCAGAGCTGTGGGTGCCTTCCCCCAGCAGTTGAGCTTCTGTTATGGACCCCGAGAATGAAACCCCACACGCTTGAGCTGGGTTTCACCCTGCACAGGGGCTGCTGGGGGCAGGCAGGCGCTTCCTGAAGCCCATGGCTGATGATTTCCTGCACAGCAGCCACAAAAGCCACAGGAAGCTCCCCAAGAGACAAACCTGGGCCTCAGCGCCAAGAGCAGGACCTGCAGAGATCCTTTTGAATCAAAAACACAGTCATCCTTACTGCCATCTCCCACCACAAATCATTGCAGTAATGGCTCCGGTCAGAGCAAGGACATTTGTATACAGACTTCTTCTCACCCTTTCCAAATGGCACTGAGCAATAAAACACAAGTAGGAAATGGGCAGCACCCCGCAGGCTTTGCTCCAGGGGCTCCCTTTCCCCCCCAGAAGTACCTGCCATTTATTTCAATAAGGATTAGGGCCCATATCTTAACCTGAGCATCCAGGAGGAACGTGCATCTCCCGTCTCCTCCCCACACACAGGCTGCTTCAGCAACGCTGCTTTTCCAAGGAGTTTCCATTCTAAAAGCTGCATCCCAAATTGAACTCTTAGGCTGAGACAGAGCTAAAAGCCCAGGCTGTGTTCTGCATCACAGCACCAGGGTTTGCCCCAGGACCCTAAAGGCTGCTCCTTCTCGGGCACATCAAACCACACACACTGGGAAGCCAGAGGTCTGCAGGATGATGACCATGGCAGCATCTTTCCCCACCTCTCCACCACTGTTCATAACTCAAGCAGCACATGGAGACAGACCACCTACTTCGGGAAGCAGGAACAAGGCAGGAACTCCAAGCTCACCAGCTGCCTTACATTTATCAAGTTCCATGCCATTTGTCTGTAGTTCATTCCAGTTGCACTATGTGCAAATAAAGAGTTGTCACTTTTAAAGCTGCACGTTTCTAGAACAGATAAAATAAAAGCTTGACTCGATGTCCAAATACCTCGGGCTCAGAATTCTGCTTATTTAACTCTTCCCATCCCAGCTCAATGAGGGGAGCTAAACCACAGCAATCTGTTGTAAGCCTGCAATGAAACCCCTTTCCTCTGCAACATCACAGGGCACATTCTGCCATTAGAGATGCCACAGCCCCAGTTTCCAAAGGCTTCATCTTCTGCCTTCAGCTTGCTTCAATTATTCAGGGCAACCCAGGCTGATAATTACACAGTCCCGAGTTGCTGAGTAAAACTGATGCTTAATTAGGCAGCAGGAAAGATCGATTAAGATCCAGCAGGACGTCGTGCAAAGTTCTGCAGTGGGGCTGCAGGGAATAGAGGCTGGCTGTGCCCTTCCAAAGGATAAAATCCTCCCCTTCTCAGGGCCTCGACAGCAGTTTTAGTTAAACCGGATGCTTGCACCAGTCAGCCACCCTGAGCTTTATTGTCAGGCCTGGACGTCAAGTGACACGACTCATACCTTGTAATAGAGCATTAACAGCAAGCTTTGGATCATGTAATGTAATGTAGCTGAGGCTGAAAGCTTTATTTAAGCCTCCAGTAACCTGTTCTCTCTTTATGATCCTTGATTTTCCACTAGCACAACAGAACAACCCCTGCTTACTTCATGCGCTTACCCAAATGACACAGCTCACATTGGCCGACACGAGATTTTGAACCCAAGTTTTAATTCCAGAACTCCTTCTCATCCCTTTTTACTGCAGCAAAGGTCCAGGCAAGCCAGATCTGAGTTCAGGAGCCACTTGTGAAACAGATGCTTTGCACAGCAAGCCAGAAGCATGAGCCTTTGCCATGCACTGATTTAGCCACAAGCCTAAGAAACAAGTGATGGATTCTTCCCCTAGAATCCTCTCTAGCACAAGGGAGGGGGAAGAACAGGACAGAATCAGAGACCCAGAGGCAAGAAGCTGCACAGCAGAGCCCAGGGCAAGGATTTTTACTTTGAAACACGCAATAACTTCGCAGACACCCATAAAACTGGCTGAAGAAGGCACAAACCAGTGTGCAGTGCATTCACGTTATACCAAGCCCTGAATGCCATCAACTGCCAGGCCATGGGCCAGTTGTCCAACTGACTACAGCACGTGGCACCCCAAGACATGACATTACTCTGAAGGACTCCCAGTAGAAAGCAATGAGACAACACAAACCTGGCTTTGACTTGCTGGAAGCCAAGGAGAATCGCATCCCTCTGCTCTCTTGCTTTAGCACTCAGCTTCTCATTCTGCAGCCCATCTGCCAGGTAGCCCTCAGCATCTGGGGAAGAGTCACAGGTTAAAACTCACAGGCAGAGGAATACCAGTTCTTGGCTAAGAAACCTGGCCCTGACTGCACTGGGAAGCCCTCAAAGCCCTGTACCAAGCAGTCTGATCTTGAGACCCAAGTCAATCTGAAGACTTCATTTGGAGGAGTTGAGACATTGAAGTGATTGTGGATAGAAGAGGACCTAAAGATTACAGAGCTTCCCTTTAGTTGCCATGGTACAAGGCAAACAAACAACTGGGATGATCTTCCTGAAGGACAAGCACTGAAAACCAGGCTGGTTGTGCAGCAGCATCATCATCCCAACATGGGCTCTCCTGCAAGGTTACCTCTGAAATCCTACACCCCGGGCTAGCTCAGCGGAGACAGCCAGGCAACAGTAAATATGGTGTTCTCCCACCTGGAGACCACATCTATATGCAGAAATTCCACATGAACTGGAGGATAAAAGGATTAAGTGTCTTCCATTTGCATAAATATTTATGTTCTTTACAGAACCACCTCAAACCCCAGAGAACAAACCCGCTCCAATCACAGCAGCCCTGTAGAGGAGAATATCACCCTTGTACCTGAGCAGCATCACTGCTCGCATCCCCTAGCCGAAGAAAGGCTGGCTTCAAAGCTGTGGTGCTGTACACCCACAGGCCTCTCCAACCTTTACCTCACGCCCCATGCTGTGCCACTAATGTCAGTTTAATACCTTGCTTGCAAGGCTTTCAGCTCCTCATGCTTCAGCTGCCAGCACAACAGCCAGCGCTGTTTAGCACAGCCCAGGAAGGGGCACGGCTCCTTCACCTCCGGGCACAGCTCAAGATCAAAATGCCACATGAGAAAACACCTTTTTCTGTTCCAACCTTGAGCCCCAGGTCTTTTCCGTTGCCTGCTCATGACACACTCAAGAAAGGTTTAGAGGTTGGATGGGGGAGGATAAAAAGGGGGGAAAAATGAGCTCTTTAAAGCAAGGAGCATAAGGAAGGACACCGAGGGCATCCCCCAGCAATAAGGGCCTCTTCCCACCTCCTCTAAAGAGTGACAGATGGGCAGGACCAAGGAGACTCAACCCTCCCCACAGCAGCCTGGGAAGGAGTCAATCCAGACCATAATGCTCACATCCTTAGTGGTCCAGTTCTCTTTTCAGCTTCCCTGGGCACCCTGTGCCAGCGCCTCAACACCCTCACAGGGAGGATCTTCTACCTAAGAGCTCATCTTAAAGCTTAAAGATAGGCAGTAACACTTCACAGCATCACTTCCTGACCCTCGCCTCCATCCAGCAGCAGTTGTGGTAACCCTAACCCTAACCCAAAACGCCTATTAACACCAAGTTCACCTCTAGTAATTCAGCCCTAGGCAGCCTGCCTGCGATAAGACAAAGGCTTTGCCAGAGCATCCAAGTGAGGCCTTTTTAAATCCCAAACCAATCTCATAATCCTTAGGCTAAACTGCATTTCCAGTACCTCTCTCTGCAGTTCTAATTGCACATCCAAGACACAGTACCAGCCTATGACCCATCTAACAATGCCGAGGCTTGCATTGCTTAGAGATTACATAGGAAGTACCCAAGTACATATATCTAAGCACGAGGGATATATCTTGCTCCGAGGAGTTTACTGCTGAAGAACAGATGAGGCTAAGGGGACAATTTATTATATACAAACCAGCACAGTAGAAATGGCTCAGCAAGAGAAGCTATGTACTGTGTGTATATATATATGTGTGTGCTTGTAGGCTGTATTTCCACTGTGAGAGAACAAGCATGAAAACAAACTGCTCCCAGAACTTATGCAAGCATCAGCTGCATCCCTCTGTCATTTTTAAGCCCAGATTAGCTCCATGAGGATGCAATTAGCTCTAACACAGTATTTACTGACTGGCATGTCAGCATAGATCAGCTGCTGGATAAGTTATAGTAGAACCAGGGACACTTGTGCAAAGCAGGCAGAGCCCCTTTCCAGAGCCAGCCACTATGTTTATAGCACCAGGAAATGAAAAAGAAAGCCTAACCATAAACTCTCCAAGTGGATCAGGAAGAGCAATATGTAAGCAGCTCGAGAGTAAATCACCCTAATGTTAGCTTTACTGCTTGTCGGTAACATTATAGTCTTGATGTTTATGGACTGCTCTCTGTGATCCACTCACAAAGTTTACAGGACTCTCCTTTTCATTTCCTGCAGCTAAAAAGGTAAAGGAGAGGGGGGGAACCAGTTGAGATTTCATCAAGTGTTTCAGGGGAGTTTCTAAAGGCAATTGCAGTTATCCGCTTTAATCCTGCGGGAGATACACAGCATCATAAGAGCCCTGTCACAGCCACTGCAGCCCAGGTAGTAAATACCCTTTGAATAGCAGCACTAAATTCTAGGAGTTAATCAGCACTCAATGAGCAGAGCTGAAGGGTATTAAGGTGCCCTGTGTAGCCTCCCTGTGCACACACACACACATTCCCTGTGCTCTTTCCCACTCCTCTGCCATCAGCGATCCCACACTCCGTGCCTGGAGGAACTGGTCCCACAGAATCACTATGGTTCAGCTGTGCCAGGTAACACTGCACCAGCCTGCTCCAGCATTACCTGCTGCTTCACACGATCCCCCCTGCACTTCATCAGCCCAGCTGGCTGGGACAAATCAGGGTGCAGACACCCTGAGCTTCCCCAACACCACAATAAGGCATCCAGGATGCATCCAAAGACAGGCAGGGATTTCAAAGGCTGTTACGGTCCCATCCCACTTGTCAAAACCAAGCCAGGAACTCTCATACACAGCATTTCTCCACCTTTCTGCAAGCTCAGAAAAGGATGGCTTCATTATGAAACAACACTTCCCAGCTGTGCCTTCCTGCTGCTGGGGAGCTGAGTCAGAGAAAACCTTGAGAACTGAAGCAATCTCCATCCATCCCCCTGCAATGGGATGAAGGGGCCATTCTCCCCTGTGCAATGGGCAACAAGGGGACTGAGAACAGCTTCCCAAATGTTCAGCTTCCAAGCCTCAACCCCGAATCCCCCGATGTTTAAATTCCAGAGCTACTCCTGATGCTGCACCAATGCTGGCTCCGGTTTATTTGCCCTCACAAACCAGAGCATTTTGCTGCTTACTTCTGAATGAGCATTGAGGCTGTGCAAGTGTCACCATCCCCTCCTGCCCAGACTGCAGCAAGGAAATAGCTTTCCAGACCCACTTCCTGAAATGAAGAGGCCCAAGCAAGGCAGGTGAAGGGAAGATAACCAGACTGCCGTTGCTCCTACAAAGGACAACAGAAGCCCTGGGTTTCTGCAGTGAAATATCAGTTTTCAGCCTTCAGAAGTAGTTTGTGCTCAACAAACAGGAAATACCCTTAGGTAGCTTTAAAAGGGACCTGGCTGAGCCCAAAGTGAGGCGGGACTTCAAACAATATAGTTGTTGCAGTGTAGAGAATAGCCATATTGTGCTGGCTTCCAACCACTGCAACCTCAGAGATGGCTTACGTGATAACCATGCAAGACCAACAAGCCTTCAGCATCTGCACATCACTCAACAGACCATGGACCACATTTAGTGCAAGGAAGCAGACGTTATTGCCTCCTCTACTTGGGACTTCTTCCTTTAAATACAAGGGTTCTTACACTGATGCAGTTTGCAGATGCTGCAATAGTTCAAGCACCTTCATTTCCAGCCTGCAGAGCTAGAAACCTCCTCAGCCACTGGAAGGCCTTAAGACAGCGTGGATTGTTAAGACACAGCAAGTTTGATCCAGGGTATGTGACATGCAATTAATCTCCATTCATAGCCTGCTCTACCTGTCAGCAAACAAAGGCTGTGCTTTGGAAGGAGATCTGAAGCCTTCAATTAAAACCAGTCAGCTAACAAGAAAATAATCCAAGTTAAAGGGAGGTGGCAGGTGCAGAAATGAGCTGTTTACAGAGGTGTCAGCACTGCACATCAAAACCAGGAGAGGGTGAGCTTCACCCAAGCCCCTGAGCACAGAACAGAGGGGAAAATTCACACCTCCATCTGGGGGAAGACACAAAGCATTTGGAAGGGAGCTTTGATGGGCTCCGAGACCAACACATCCCAGGGCTGGAAGTTATCCCGCATCTTCATCAGGGACTGGAGCAATAGGGCAAGGGGTGATGGGTTTAAACTGAAACAGGGGAAGTTCAGGTTGGAGATAAGAGGAAGCAGCCCTTCCCTGTGAGGGTGCTGAGGCACTGGCACAGGGTGCCCAGAGAAGCTGTGGCTGCCCCATCCCTGGCAGTGCTCAAGGCCAGGTTGGACACAGGGGCTTGGAGCAAGCTGCTCCAGTGGAAGGGGTCCCTGCCTGTGGCAGGGGTTGGAGCTGGAGGAGCTTTGAGGTCCCCTCCTACCCAAACCTGGCTGGGATCCTGTGATCTCCAAGAGGATGGGCGAGCGCCCCGTGCTGCCAGGAGCCATCACAACAGGAAGCAGAAGGTCACAAAGCCTTGTGGCATCTCCACAGCGAGATGCTAACGGCTCCTTCCCACCACCAACCCACCCACAGCTGCAGCGGCAGGATGTGTCCTTACACGTGCACTGTTGATCAGTGACGGGCTCACGCCATGCCTCCAGCCTGCAGCACCTCTGAGGACTTATTGATGGGCAGGTTCTAATGCGCCCACCTCCATCAGTACTTCTCACTCAGCAATAGTTGCTAAAGCCCATGTGGAACTGCCTTATGGCTGTGAAGCATGTTTGAATAGAAGAGCTCAGCACGGCTGACCCACCACTGCAACAAGTGGAGGTGTTGCAGCTCGAGTTTGTTAAGAAAGCCATGAAAAACAAGCCTTACCCATAGAAGTAAACGGTGCCAGGGCTCAGAACAGCTCATTCACTCGGAAGCTGAGGCCTCGGGAAGCCACATTCAGGCTCTCAAGCAGAAGGGGGATTTGGAGCCAGCGCTTCTCTGCGCTGTAGCCCCATTTTCAGTGGGGTTGAAGCCTTCCTGAGGATGCAGCTCACTGCACCCGCAATGCCACACACAACACTCACACAGCAGCTAAAGCCAGGAGGCATCCCTCTCACAGCCACACCAAAAGCCCCCTGAGCGAGCTAACTGCAGCACACGAGCTTCTTCCACCCTTTGTGCCTGCTCCCTTGCCTCACCCTCGAGATGCTCACCCACGGACCCTCAACACCCGAACCGAAAGCACGCACAGGGGACACCCAACCCTGCCCAAAGAAACCCCCCTAATCTTGCATCCTTCCCCCTTTCACAGGCCTTGAGACAACCAAAGAGCTTCCCTACCCTTACACAGGCATGGAGGCACCCACAAAGCCCTGAGCACCAAGACACATCCCATAAGCTCTCAGTGGGGTTAGGGAGGGCACACGTAACCTTGGGACCCCAAAACCATCAGCTTAGAGAAGCAGCAGTGCCCACAGCCCCTCCACTTCCCTCTCTGGTTCAGCAGGGAGGCACAGCAAGCTTCGCAGCTTCTTCCCCTGCAGCCACAGCACATTTCCCCATTAAGCAGAAGGGGAAGCAAGGAGGAAGCCGTGGTTACCTTCCAGGAGCTTCTGGACGTCCTCTGGGATCATGGTACCCGTCACCTTCCGTCCCACGGGCGCCAAACCCGCGGCTGATGCGCCCGTCCCTCAGGGCAGGGGGAGGAAGGAAGGCACAGGAAGGGCGGGGACACCCCAAAAAGAGGGGAGGAACCGCGGGCCTCTGCTCTAGGAGCTCCTCCTCATCAAACCCACCTCTTTATAGGCAGCTGATGCCCAGCTCCTGGGAGCCCGCGCTGCAGTCAGGAGTGCCCGGCTGGGGCTGACCTTCTCCATCGCTGCTTTAACAGGTGGCACCTGCGCATCTCTTTCGTTATCACTTAATCCAGTGCGTCTGGTGCAGAGCAGCTTCACCTGGGGCTGTGTGGGGCTGATCCCACCTGGCCCGACAGGAGCTGGGGGTTGGATCTGTGTCAGGTAAAGGCAGGCTCCCCCCTCTAACGGGTTGTTCTGCAATAAAACTTCCCTTTTCCTTCATCCTGCATAGGAAGGGGCCTAGATTGTAGCAGCCATTCCTATTTCTGTGTCTTGCCCAGGCAAACGGCAGGGTCACACACTTTAACTTGCTTTATGACAAGCAATAAATGCAACCTGTGCTCTACAAGCCAAAAATGGCATTGCATGAGATGAAGCTCATCAGTGATTCCAAAGACTAGTTTAAGATTTCCCATGGGTTAAGTGTGCAGGATCCCATCCTTCCTTTGCAATATCCTGCTAGCAAACACGTATCTATTATCCTAGCACATAGAAAAGGTTCATGTACAAGATGCTGAGGCCTTAAAGCACACGGAATGTCACTGCAGTTCAGGGGGAGACTGCCTCGCTAGAAAGCATATCCATTGCAGGAGTCATCCCCATTGCATCTCCCAGTCAGGAAGGGTTTCATGAGTCAGGATGTAGAGAGCTCAGGGTCTCCCATGGGAGCAAAACGTGCATCTCTGTCAGCTGCCTGAGGCTCCGGACACGTCTGAGTGCTTCGGAGCGTATGCAAGAAGTGCTGGTGTGTGTAGTGGAGGTGGACGTGCAGAGCAGATGGATCCGTATCCGTGTTCTCACCTGGAGGTGTTTAGGGATAAATATTTAAACAGGTCTGTGTAGAAATCCCCCTCAGTTCATTACAGCCTACAAATAAAAGCAGCTGCTTGCTGAGCCTGCCTTTAAAACTGAGTTTCTAAAGGCATGAACCAGGTCCCTTAGACAGGAGAAGCTGCCTTCGGATATGCCAGGAGGATCAATGAAACCGGATCAATGCAAATCTCAGAGGAAGAAATGTTCATGCAACTGCAAAGGAAAGGGTCATCTCACACGTTCGCTGCCTTGCTGGAGCTCACCCAAGGATCTGAAAACATAAAGAGGGAGCTCGAGGGTACCTGCTTGCCCAAGAGCTGAACTGATCATGTTTAGGCTCTGGAAGACTTCTTTCCTTACATCAAGCAAGCAGTGACTTGTTTTGCAGGTGTTTGGGGTGGGTTTGCTTTCCTTTGCTGCCGTGGGTGTGATCACTGTTTAAGAGCATGTTCACCCAACAGACGTGCCGCTGGTGCAGTGTTTATGGCAACAGTAAAGCTCTAGATCTTTCCTCCTCAACACCTGAGCTGTGTTGCAGGGGTGCCTTTTGGTCTTCTGCTATAGATCGTAAGGTTACCATAAAGCACTGAGAGCAGCATCGTGTGTGAATGCTGGCACTGTTGCATCCCAGATGCTCTTGGACTACACGTGCATGGTCCTGGCAGCTGGAGACAGCACCAAGGATGTTCCCTACAGGAGGGTTTTGCTAAGCCCAGGTTGACTGTGCAGCAGTTGTTGTTACTATTAAATCCATTTTACTGAGGGATACTGAAGCATGGAGGCTCAGCTGTCACAGGGACATAGGTGCTGCTGCCCAAAGCCTTAGCACCAAGCCAAGCCTTCCTCTCAACCTTAGGCAGCTGCAGATGGAGCTGGGCACACTGGTTCCCAGGCAAATGCCCTGGTTTTCCTTCCCTTTTCAGTTGCCACTTCCACTTCTGGATGCGTAGATCGGTTTGTGCTCAGCTGGGCAGGAGGCTGGGCAGTCCTGGCAACTTCCCCTGCAGCACTGCTGTGTAGCATCAAGCTCTGTGGGCTCTGGATGTAAAGCTGCCTCCCTAGGTGATAAAAGCCCCCCCCCCATAATCACTTTAGGTCCCAAGTCCAGCAGACGGGCTCTCTCCTAACGCTATTCTGTTAAACGGACAAATTCCTTTGAAGGCTTGTCTTGCTTCGAAATGCGATCTCACAGGAAGGCGGATGCGATTGGGTGTAGCTATGGAAACAGAGCAGGGCAGCCTTGGAGGAGCTGAGGATGCGAGGCAACCCGGGAGAGCCGCCCCGCGCTGCTGGGAATCCCGGAGGATGCGGGGGGCTCGGCAGGAGACGTGTCCCTGCCCGGGCTGGTGCGTGCGGCTGGGCCCCAGCGCTGTCACTGCAGGTAAGAGCCCTGTCTGCTGTCACACTGCCTGACGTGGGGCTGAAAGCACAAAGCCAAGGGGGGTGCAGACCCACCGGTTCCCTGCTGCTCCCCCACCCCACCCCCTGGCGCATCAGGATCTCTCCTTCCCCTCTCTGCCACTGGGAAAGGTTAACAACAAAAGGGGACCAAGGTTAAACCACAAAGCCCTGGCTGATAACAGCCCTTTCAAGCAGCTGCACCGAAATGAATCTGAAACTTGGAGTAATTAGATAAGATAAGGATGTGTGCATGCTCGTGCGGGCACACGCTGACCCTGGGACACCCATCACACAAAGGAGGTGGAAGATCACAGGCTTCATTAAAGCGGCTCAGGTTATTTGTTCACCTCATCTGGTGCTGCAGCACTGAAAGTTCATTTCCAGCCCCTGTATTCATCTTGCTCAGTATCCCTGGATATAGAGCACTGACTTGCCCTTTTGTCCTCTCTTCCCGGTACTGCAGCTCCTGCCAATTCAGAGCAGACTCTAATTCCTGCCATTTCAGAACAGATGCTGGTCCATCTATTCCTGTATCCCAGCTCCTGCCATTCCAGGGCAAATTGCTGGGCCGCTGGGTGTCATTTGCTGCCTCTGACAGTGACCAACAGCTCAGAAAAAAGGCAACTTTCCAATCTGGTAATGCACCTGACTGCTTGAATAATGTCTCCTGGTTTACAAACCAGCTAGGCCATGCTAATGCTCTGCTGGAGTCCCAGCCTTTCCGTGCTTGTGTCAGTCCCAGTATCCAGCAGCTCGTGGATCTTTTTGTGTGACTAAGTCATTCAGTTAAAGGCTGGGTAGGAGCCTCATAAAGCCTTTTCCATTTGTTAAAGCTCAGTGGCCTTTGCTTGCCTTCATCATTTGCTTCTGCACCTCCGCTTCGCCAGGGCTTGCAGGTTACTGCTCACCAGCTCCTGAAGCCAAGGAGAAACAAAAACATGTCAGCAGCTCTGAGTTATGGGCAACCAGATCTGCTCCCAGAGCAAAACTAAATGAGGGGACCTTGCTCCTGGCTTAGAGTGCCAGGCTCTGGGCTCGTTTACCTTCCAGACATGCTGCATTTTCTCTGCTGGGAAGCTTTCTCAGAAGCAAGCAGGTGTGTTGGGATGTATTTCTGAGAGGAGCTGAGCGTGCCTGGTAGCCGGTTTCCATCACACCAGCACATTAGTTACAGTAGGACCCCACTGCACACAGAAACCCCTGAAAGAATCTCTAGGCTGACGAGACAAGATGTAGTACAGCAGGGAAACACGACGTCTCAGGAGAAGACCCAGGGCAATAAACAAGAGTGTTGGTGCCCGGGCTGGTGTTCGGGTGATCCAGGCCTGCGTTGTGCACAGCACCCCAGAAATGGAAAGGCAGAGTCAGTTGTGAGCTGAGAGGGAGGGAGGAAGCTCAGGGCTTAACCCAGGAGTGAAGAGGCCCAGATTTCCTCCTCCTGTGCAGCACCTGACTGTACATCAGGCTCAAGTCAATGCTTCAGCCCAGAGTCCAGATTCCCCTGTGCTCAACACATGGCTCCTGGCTGTAATCCCATAGACCTGAGCCAGGGAAGACTGGGCACACATCTCTTGTCCATAAGGCACAAGCATCCTCTCACCTTTAGGATGAACGGGCTCCACTGGTCCATCCGTTCCGACACCCATCTCCCTTGTGGAGCTGGCCAGTGGTAAGGAAGTGTCTCTGGGAGCAGCCACAGTGGTCACTGGAGGTGGTCTGTGAGGTGACAGCATGAAAGAGGCATCTCCCAACAGCATGTTCCTGAAGCCAGATGTGGGAATGGTGTCACCACTGGAATCCTAAGCAAGGGACGGCTCTGGGACAGCATTCCTATGGCCTCTGGCAAATGCTGGCCAGCATCAAGAGGGGAGGATACTCTGTAAAGGGAAGGATTAGAAAGATAGGAAACCAGAAATAAGCAGTGAGCTCAGCTCCTGTGGATGCTGCTCTTCTTCAGGCTGACGGATGGGCTTCAGTTTAATGCAAAGGTGATATTGATCCCTTGCTGTTTGGTTACAGTGTGTGATGGAGCTGCCCTCTGCCCTGTAGATGTGCTGTAGCACCTCTTCTCTTTCTCCCAACCCTCATCAAACTACTTTAATGATTCTTTTATTGACAACACTGAGTCTTAATGAGGAGGACTGCCACACACTTCATTAAGGCTGCAGAGGGGACACTTCCCATAAACAGCTAGGACCAAGGGCTGCCATCAGGGCTGAGGGAGAAGGATGGAGTTGAGGGAAGATCCGTAGATCTCTAGAGGAGGAAACGCTCCTTGTCTGCTCCTAAGAGAGAACAAGGATTTAGGACAAAAGTCCGCACGATCTGAGAAGCAGTGGATGGAGGAAGGAGAGCTCAGTCCTGGAGAAGAGTCTTGGTGGGCACAAAGGCCACGGTGTGAGCTCCTTGACTGGTTTCCGGTCAGGATGCAGATGAGAGATGGAAAGATGCTGCATGGCTACTGGCTGGATTTAACCTTGGTTTTATTATCCAGTGTAATAATAGCACAGCATGTCTGCACTGTGCGGAAGGCAGCACGTGTCAGGGAGCCATGAACAGTAAGGAAGTGCTGGCTTTGGGTCTGCCCAAGCAGCGCTGGGAGGATCCAGGCACAGCTGAGAGCCAGT